TTGATCCAGTGGATGAGACTGGAGTTCAAAGTGTGTAGGTTGGATGTTGTGTAATAAAATTGGAAGGGGACCACTCACTGAACAATGGAGATAAAAATTAAATATTGAACAGCTGCCTCAATTCACCAATATCCATCCATGCTGTACAATGAATGTGATTAGGTAATAAAAGTAAATGCAGAATAAGGGAGAATTATCAAGTGCATACAGCTTTAATTTTGGCATTTCAAGACTTTGCAATCTTAACAAAATTTTTACATATTTTAATGGAATAATATTGCACGATTTTACACCCTTTAGAGCCTGCCTTATTTCATCTTCATCTTCATCGTACTAACTTACACAGAATTGTACCCACTCACACTCATTGTCATTGTGTCTCAGTCTTTCATGCAGCTCTGATCTCCATAGTGTAGACTTTATAGGTCAGAAATGATTCAGAAAAGCCATTATGGTGTTAATTTTTTAATTCTGTTGCAATGCGTACACCCAATATCCTAAAACGACTTTTTTAAAGTACATAATCAAGTCACGTCTATTTTTCCATAAATGTTCAAAGACTCCAAGCACTTACTTTTATTCCACTAATGCGTTACTATGTCAGGTTAAATAAATTCATCTGGGTTTGAGTTATAGTGTTGAAGGGAAAAAACTCAAAACACAGCAGTATTTTTGTAGCCCTGTAACCAGAATATTGTCAAAGTCATTCATTTTCAAAATGAGTGAAAAGATTTACTTTTGTGCTGCATCTACACTTGGAGTTTGGGGTGTGATTCCCATGAAGTCCAGGTGGGTTTGTACTTGAGATGGCTACTTGTGCAACTGTTCACAGCTGTCTATGCTACTGTGGCTACATTGTAGTTCGTGTGTGTGTTCAATGAGAGTGAGCATAAGTATGTCTACATGAGTTAGGACTCACTCCCCCATTAAAGGGCTTAGTCCTTCACTCTGCCACTTCCCTGGTCCATTTCACATGAACAGAGAACAGCAATACAGAAAGTCTGGAGATGCAAACAATTCATTGTTTATTGAGGGTACCTTCCAGCAACATGAATCCAGTTTCCTTTCCTTTTTTCCCTTGTTCCCTTGCTTCCCTTCTCCCCCATCCCCCCACACTTATTTCCTATTTGCCCCCAATATATATAGTAATAGTCAAGTGTCTGAGACGTCCTGGTTATAGTCGGCCTGGACATTATAATCAAACCAGCTGACAAAGGTGGTGCTGTGGTCATTATGAATAAGGCCGACTATAACCAGGAGGCAACCAGACAACTCTCCAACACCACATTTTACAAACCTCTCTCCTCTGATCCCACCTCGGAATACCAAAAGAAACTACACTGTCTCCTTAAAAGCCTCCCTACAGCTACTCAGGAACAAATCCACACAGAAACACCTTCTGACTCCCGACCAGGATTGTTCTATCTGCTTCCCAAGATCCATAAACCTGGACACCCCAGACATCCCATCATCTCTGGTATTGGCACACTCACTACTGGTCTATCCAGCTATGTAGACTCTCTTCTCAACCCCTACGCAACCAACACCCCCAGCTATCTCCAAGACACTACTGACTACCTAAGGAAACTACAAAACATTGACACCCTCCCCAATAACACCATCCTTGCCACCATGGATGTAGAAGCTCTATACACCAACATCCCACATGAAGACGGATTACAAGCAATTAGAAACACTATCCCAGAGGACACCACTGCCAATCTAATAGCAGACCTATGTAACTTTGTTCTCACCCACAATTATTTCCAGTTTGAGAACAACTTATATCTCCAGATCAGCGGCACAGCCATGGGTACACGCATGGCCCCACAGTATGCTAATATTTTTATTCCTGACCTAGAACAACGTTTCCTCAACTCCCGTCCCCTTCTCTACTTACGCTACATCGATGACATCTTTATGATCTTGACGCATGGCCAAGAAACACTGGAGACATTCCACAGAGATTTTAACAACCTACACCCCACCATCAACCTCAGCCTGGACCATTCTACACGAGAGATCCATTTCCTGCACACCACAGTACAAATCAACAATGGAAAAATTAGACACCACTTTCTACAGAAAACCCACGACTCAGACAGTTACCTACATGCTTCCAGCTCCCATCCAGAACACACCATACGATCCATC